ATAAGATAATAAATATGTACTGCTTCAATCATTAAGCTTTAACAATTTGTTCCTAATGCATTGTCAATTCTGAAAGTAACATAATTTAAAGATGGGACAAAACTATAAAAGTCAGTAAGTCAAAAGGCCACATATGTTTGAACAAGTCTTAAGCATCCAAATAAAACTAGTTAGTTCAAACACAAAAGCATTTGAATTAGGGAGGGAAAACATTATCTATAATAAGCTTAATTTTTAAAATATCACTCATTTGATATTACCAACATGTGGGGTTTTTTTTCCATTCCACTTTCCCTTCTGCCTATTTGTATCTATTCAGTTGTCCAAATTGCCTACCGTCCACCTCCACTCATCCTCTCCAAAGAGTAAGAGGAAGAAGAGTGATATACTACTTTCAAGAGCTTAATAACATTTTCAGCAAACATTTCACAATATATAACTTTAAAGACTGCCATATACATGTATTCTTGCCTTTGGCAATCTAGTCTCGCAATATTTTTACTTACAGAGAAACAGAAACTTGCAACAACTGAGTAAAGTTAGGTTAGGACTAACTCTCCACAACTGATCCTGGTGTTTAAAATCATTTGGGCAAATGGCTGGTACCGCTATATAATTAATGTGGGAAAAAAAATCATTTTAAGACCTTTCCTTCCAGGAGAAGGGAAGGCAGGAAACATTAACATCAAGTGAGGAAACATTAACATCAAATTCTAATACAATGCAAGTAGATTTAAAATATATTTTTTAAATATTGGATGGTTTCACTTATAGGAATACTAAAGAATCAGGGAAAAGAAAACTTGGAGGCATGTCATCTGAGGCATAGAGCAGGAGAGGACAAGGGAGAGAGGTCAAGACAGGGGCAGAAAGAGCATAAGGGACTATGGTGATGGTCATGGGTGCCATGATGGCAGGAGAACTATGGGTACTACACATGAGAGGAAAAATTAATTATGCAAAAATCAACAATGATGTAAGAAAATTAAAAATACTTTAAAATATACATATATTTTATACATTGTGAGCCTATAAGCACACAACTATAAAAAATGTGCAGATCAGTTTTACTCTGTGCTTTATGCTGTATTTTCTAATCTATCCTTTTCCACTCTCTCTTTTAATGCTTGTTGTAATTCTCTCAATTGGTTCTGAAAGCAAAGAGGGACAAATGCACGCAGGGGTTGAGATATTCAGTGGGAAGTGAATTGGGGACCTTTCTCACAGGGATATCTGACAATGTCTGGGATATTCTGGTTGCTGCTACTGCCTTTTACTAACATCTAGTGGGTAGAGGCTAAGGATGCTGCTAACGACCTTACAACCCACAAGATGGTCTCACAAAACAATTACACAAACTCAAATGTCAGTGATGCTGAGTTTTAGAAACCTGCTCTAGTTTGTTTAATAAGGGAACCATAGATGGAATTGAAACATCAGTAGTGCTTTAAAAAACTATGAAAGCCACTTTAAACTTCAAGAACGATGTCCAATATTAAAGTCAGAGATATGATAGCAGCAATCTAAGACATCTCTTTCCATAATCCAAAGCCCAAAAAAGAGAAAAAAAAAACCAGTTTCCAATTTTCTAATCCAACTCAAAAATAGGTAAGTGCTCAATATGCTGTTATGAAAAGTCAACTATTTTATACTGTGTTAAAAGATGAGTGTGGTGGGCCCTCCCTGGTGGCGAAAGGTAACTTCTAGAAAACTTGGCTAGCCTTGACTATCACAACATTAAGTAATTGAAAATGTCTTGAATACTTAACTGGTTTACAAACATTTGCCTAATTTAACCCCACAATTATCAATGAACATATTACTACAATTATAGATAAGGAAATACAAAAAGTGGTTAAAATATAGGATGAAATCATGTAGTCAGTGAATGACAGTCAGATTAAGCACCTCTGACTCTAAAACGCATGTTCTTTCTACAAAACCTCCAGTTACAATTATACAACTAATGACCCAGTCACTCATGTATTGTAATTATCATTTAATAGCATTTAATAGTGGGTAAAATGTAGATATCGGCATCAACTACAAACTGGGTGAAATTCTGGGTATATTTAAAATAATGAAATCTATCCAAAGACACAAATGAATGAAAAATAGTAAAATTACAAAAACAAAGCATCGATAAAACTAAAGATTAAAAATAAATCAACAAATTAAATTTAAATTTAAAAAAACAGACAAGCCAATATATGGAAGGCAATATAATTTTTTACTAGAGTTACCTATCAAGCTTAATATGTGGATTGTCAATGGAATTTTATCATTTAAAGCACAGGAAGGAACCTATTACGTAGCTGAAGCTATAATGATACACATAAAAGCCTGGAAAGAATCTTTCTCCAATCATAATAAATACTGTTGCCTATCTGGGTTTAATTAACTTTAAATTAGATCACTTCAAAAAATTTTTGCCCACTTTTGAAAAGTTGTAACAAGAATGATAAGGAGTAGAAAGGCAGTGAGAATGTCATCTAAATTAAAAAATACATTCTTGGGAGTTATTTAGCCTAGAATAAAAAGATAAATATCTTGTAAAGTTGTCAAATACTTATTAGAATGAAGCCTCCACTTATATTTTCAATTACTACTTTACTACCAAAAGTGGCTATATATTACAAAGTTGAAAATCTTTAAAGCAGCTCATACCCTAACCAGATTGACATTTTTCCACAAATAATCATAATGGTAAAGATTTGAATGACGTATCATTTTCATATTTGATACATGTTTTAGTGTTGCTAAACTATATTACACAGGATTTTAAGCCAACTCACACATACCTTTTTACTTATGAGGTTTATTTTTATTTTATTTTATTTTATTTTATTTTATTTTATTTTATTTTAGTTAACACTCGTTTACAAAGTTGTCCGTGATTTCGATTATGTACACTCACAGGATCACACCCTTTTAGTATATATTATCACAAAACTACTGAAGTGTAATTTTTATAATAAGTGTATAATTCAAACTACTGAAATAAAGTATAAGTCCTTAAAAGGATACCATATGTAAAAATTTGTGAAGCACTTTAAAAAATTTCATGGTTTTGCTTTGTTTTTTCTATTTTTATGTGGCAAACTAGACATTATTTAGTGAAGAACAGGAGAAGTACATAGCAGAATCTAAAACCTCTAAGGACAACAACCAAATTAAAGTTAATTAGTAACTTAAGAAAGCACTGCAGCTTCTGAAAAATAGTTTCTGTATATCGTAAGATAAAAGCAAGTTTCTCTTTATATACATCTTTACATTTTAATAATATAAACATTTTCTTAGTATTTATAATTTAAGTGTAACTTATATGAAACTCTAGCTTGACTTTCTTCACTGCATATACATTTTATTGAGTCTATTTGGTTAATGGTGCTTTTTTAATAGTACTTTTTTTTTTTTACTTTTTGTCATTTATTTGCTTTAATGTGCCCTTTTGGCACTAAAGATTATTTTAAACTGAAAAGAAGTAGAGATAAGAAAAGTTCTGTCCTCCTGCTATTTGCTTAAAAACAGTATTAAGTGATTCTATATCAACCTCATATCAAGCTGCCTTCCCAAATATTTTCATTGATTTTGTTGTTTCTATGACAAGATGTGGATTACTCACCAAATGTATCAAAAAAGTATTGTGTTAGGAGTTGAGGGAGAGGGTTGATACACAAGATTTGTGTTAGGTACTCACCTATTTGGTGTATTTGATCATATAACAAAATAAATTACAAAAAGATTAAAAAGTTAAAGGCTAAAAGACTTAACCATAAAAACATGAAAAAAAAATAAACAGTTCAAATTTTAACTGACCTGGAGTGAATAAAGAGTGTCTAAGAATAAAAGTAATGGGGGGGGGAGGAATCACCAAAAATGATTTAGTTATATTCAATTCAATATTTCCAAATGATCAAAGAAAATTAGTGGGTAAACATCAAGATAGGAAATACAATGGGAACAGATGTTAAACAGATAAAATCCTAATCATATAAAAATGCTCTTCTGAATCAGTAAAGAAAAACTAATGCCCAAGAGAAACATGGGCGGAAGGAATAAAAAGGAATGGACAGAGTACCAAACATCATCACAAAACATTTCATTTCACAATCAAATTCAAATGACAAAAGAACAGCATTTTTTTTGGGTTATCTCTGCAAGTTGCAAAGACATAGTGCTTTAAGGCTGAAAATTCTAGCTCATGTGACAGGAATAGAGGATGTTACATTCTTTCTGGAAAGCAAATTGGTAAACCTGATTACAAGCCAGACAATCAAAGCATGAATTTTTACTCGTTAATACTCAAAATATGTAGGAAAAATATATATAGATGTAAATAAAATTACAATATTATTCATACAAATGATTGGAAACCAGTGCAACGTCCCCCAAAATAGTTTGTGGTACTTCCTTATGATAGAATATTAGAGCAGTCATTTTAAATCAAATGTCTAAAGAATACCTAATGGGTTGGAAAGATTAATGACATGATATTAATTGAAAAAAATTAGAACACAAAAGTATATATAAGTAATACCCATTTTATAAATGTGTAAAATATACATGTGCAGGGAAAGGGGGAAGAAATGCAACAAATGTTAATAATAGGTATATTTGGCAGAAAGGATTATATGTAGCTAGTATTTCATTCTTTATACTTTAAGCAATTTTCTAGAAATTCTACAGAATAAAGATATTATTACTTCTAAAAGAAAACAGTTAATGTGAGTTTTTACAACTATAGCTAATAAATACTTGAAAATATGTCATCAACATATTTTAGAAGAAAAATGTTAGAAATGAAATCAAAAGCAAATTTTAAAAAATGAATAGAAGATACTCCCTCTTTTAACTTGACATTTTCTCCACATAATCAATACCATGAAGACTTAAAAAAAAAAGTAATACTACCTATGAGGTGTTTATTCAGAAATATAACCTTAGAATAAAGTCCTTATTTAGCTACTTATAGGGAAATGTGTGATTAGGGTGCTTACCTTTTTCGCTTACACTCTCACTTTCAATCTCAACATCATCACAGCTTGTATATTCAGGTGTGGAAGCTAATTCCTCCTCTGAACTGCTCAATGAAACCTGGCGCATTTTACCTCCTTTCTTTGATTTATGCGGCCTCGGTGGTGGAGGTCTCACTGACTCTGACTGGTCTGAACTTAGAGAATCATTCCTCAACATCGTTTCCATTTTTTCCCGTTTTGTTTTCCTTACAGCAGAACTAGGATCTAAGTGGTGTTGCTTCCTTAGTGAGTCAGTGCGTCTCATGTCCGGCCTATCGATGGGTATTGGACTCCTCCGGGGGGTGGGAGGACTCTGGTTTGTGGTCCTTTGTGGATAAGAACTGGGTCCCTGAGTCTCTCGAGTTCTTTCCATTGAATAAGATCGCTGATTTTCCATGGCAGCTCTACGTTCTGATACAGATCTTTGCCTTGATGGTCTTTCCATCCTTAACATAGAAATCCTAGAATCTTCCAGTTCAGCATTCGCCAAAGAAACATCACTGTGCCTTCTCTCGTGCCTTGCTCGAGACACTTCAGCATGAATACGCATTTGTTCTTCATAGGGCTGTGGCTTTACTGGATAACGGGCCAAATTTGGATCACTTCTGTAGCGTGCCTGGTATTCCTCTTCTCTCCTTTGTCTTTCATATTCATCTCTGCTCTCCACATCTTCATCATCTTCAATGTATTCTTTGGAATGCCTGTGACTTCTCCTGTTGGAGTCCCTATAACTTATATGATCAGACTCTTCATAAAACTGAGGTTCACGCTGTGGTCGCCTGTCACCATAATCTGATGGAGACCTGGGCATTGCACTCTCTGAAGTAGCATACTGTGGATATTCCTCCCTTTCTTCCCTTTGGTCGTATCTTCTAGTCTGATCTCTGGACACTGATGGACTTCTTTTCCTATGTAACCAAAGAAAAAGTATGATGAGAACAGCAGTATTTCAGTGAAATTACATTTTACTGACTCACTGGCAGGTTGAAGGATAAATTCAAATGTTTTCTTGCCTTTTTTTAATTATACAAAAATGTTGGTTACAAAAATGTTAAAATAGGAAGCATAAGTGGTACTTTTGATGTAGTTATTAAGTGCGTGACACTTAATATGGAATACACTTACACTTTGAAATTAGATAACCAACATCATATTCTCCTGGGGCAAAATAGCCTTTGTTTGCATTTCTTTGCTTGGCCCAAAACACTGTCACGGGTCTGTTATTAAATGACTTAAAATTCTAACTTATATTCTCTCTATTCTGGCACACTGAATGAAAGTTATTGTAAAACATAGAGAAGCCAAACTGAGGTGTCAAACATTGACTACTTTCTGTCAAAAACTAAGTAAATCCATTTCCATTCATTATCTATCTAAATCACTCCTAGCACTAGTGCATTTAAATCTTCATTTTATTATATATCCCTAAAACATAGAGAAGCCAAACTGAGGTGTCAAACATTGACTACTTTCTGTCAAAAACTAAGTAAATCCATTTCCATTCATTATCTATCTAAATCACTCCTAGCACTAGTGCATTTAAATCTTCATTTTATTATATATCCCTAACCCTTCTTTACTACTCCCTTTTGAGTTAAGCAATTTATATTAATACCAACAGTGACGATTTATTCATCACAAAACTCTAGAAAGCCAGAAAAGATTCAATTTTTATTCATTAAAAATTTTTATTCATTAAGCCCAGCTCAATGAGACTTCCCTGACTTCACATCATATTTTCTTACAATCTAAGAGGAAGAGACCACATATTAAGTTCACAACCCAGTGAATCTCATCACACAAAATATTCTCTTGACAACAAAATACTCACACCACACTATTCTGTGCCATGAATTTAGATAATGGCAAACATTAGCCATAAGTAAATGGACTGGAATCCTGAAGATGACACAAAGGTTGAGAATGACTACTATGGGGATTTTACCCGAACACATGAATAGACCACTGAGAGAGTGAGGTCAACTGAAGTTAAAGATGAACAAGATAACTCAGTTGGGAATTTCTTTGAGTGTTTTTGTGTCCCAAGAACAAGAGAAGAGCAAAAACACATGTGGAATGACTAGACAGAGCAGCATCCCCACTTTCTTGTGAAATTCCCCCATGTCATGAAGTCTCTTTTCCCTTGTATCTGGAATATAGTTTGCCAAAACATCAGTTAGATTTCATTAATAAAACCAAATGTTACTGTAGGCTTTCTGTGTAGGTCGAGTTATAATACAGGAATCTAAATCTACAACACTCATAAGCCACGTAAAGGAATGAACACCAGAGAAGTTAATGCTGGAGATCTTAGCCCGAAGAAACAAAGACAACGGCTCTCAGAGTGGTCATTAGAAAGCTGCTATGAATCTCAAAAGTTTTTAGGAATTTGCATCAATTATATCTCAGCTGCTTACAGCTTTAAAGTGGTCAGTTAACAGGCGCTTGCTTAGGAGTGACTTAGATTTTTATATCTGACCATCTTCCTGCCAATGACTGGTACTTGACAAGGATGGCTTCCATATCCTTTACACATCTCCCAAATCTCACACAAGTGCAATGGTTCCAATTTGGAACCAGAGAGGCGCAAAGGTGTTATAATAAATGAAGGAACTAGTCTGTTAACCAAAATGTTTTATGGTTAAGCAAGTTTTTTTTTTTTTTTCACATTTATATTCTTACTTTCACATACAAAACATTTAGGGTGTAATAAAAAATTTTAATAATCATAAATTTACTAATTTACAACTAGTATATAAGACCATAGACTCATAGTTTGAAATAATTAAAACAGACATTCAAAATAAATTTTAGAATATTCACCTGTAAAATATCCTAAATATTTGTTATACAGAAATAACTTTAATGTTTTGTTTTATAAATATATGACTAAGAGAAAAATTACCTAGTATGATAACAATATCATGATACAATACTAGCGTTAATGGGCCTGGGTGTCTTAGTACTACTTTGTTACTAACCAGTTCTTTGAAACCATGTAGTCATTTAATCTCCAAGAGTTTCTGCTTTAAAAAGTGAGAGATATAGATTATATACATTAATTCCTGTGTTAGTTTGTGTTTTCACGAGGTGAAACTATCTAGATGCTACATGTAACTTTTAGTCAGTAAGGCATAGCTATATATCTGTATCTACATCTACATATTATGTACATTTTTTATATATAAATATAAAATAGACTACAAATTAAAAAGCAGTAAGAAGTGACCATTGATTCTAAACCTCTCTTAGAATATTGATACCACAACTTCATCAAGCTGGTCTGTCTAAATGAAAATCTGAAACATAATAAAAACTACTAAGAATTCTCCTGTCAAGTAGTGATTAAATGACTAATGCCAAATTTTAAAATACTAATGCCAACATTCAGCATACTCATTAACTGGCTTCTTATATCTGTTTACTTTACTAAAATATTCTCATATTAACGAGAATTTCCCTAAGAAACTCTAAAGAAGCAACAATAAAATCAGTCCCTTTAAAACTATTAATGCAAATAATCTCCAAAATGTGAAACTGAAGGCCATAGAAAAAAATGAAGCAAAAACTTTTGGAAAGTGTTAAGGGGGAAATTAAGATATTTTGAAGGCAGTTCAACATTAATACTGGTCCTCTTTCTCACTGTTCTAGGTAATCCTATCTAATCTATTCAGGAATGTTTATAATACCTTTAAAATGTTAGGTTACATGAAGACTAGAAAGCTGGATCTAAGTAGGCTGGCACATAATACGGACTATGCTGAATTTAGAAATTGATTAATTCTCCCTTAGATTATCTCTACTTTTCATGGTTTGCTACTTTATCTTATACTCAAATTCACTGATTTGCTAAAATAGCTCTTTTCTTTCCTCATAGAAGCTATTATTTCAAGTGAAGTAATAGCTTCTTAAATGAAAGGAACTACTTTTATCAGTAGTATAATTTTTAGCTCTATTAGTGTTAATTTATTAATTTAGCTTTTATTGTTGGGATTCAGAATTGAACTGTTTATAAGATGATTTCTTTTAGCAAATTGTATTTTGAACATCAAACACTGTACAACTAAACAGTTAGAGTAACACCTCTATAAATTACAGCATTCTAGTAATATATTTAGTATCACATTGAATGTTAAAGCAATTCATGCCCTGAAGAGTTAACATGAATTTTTTAAAGAAAGGAGAGCATAAATAACATGATAGGGTGCATATATCACAGGGGATATATTCTGTTTATTGATAAATGAGAATATATGCTTTTTATAGCACTCATTTTCAGAAACAAAAAGCTATTAATTAGTCCTTAACAAACCGTTTTCTAAAAAAAAAAAAAACATAAGTGAATTTAATAGCAAAGTGAGCAATCACTTTGTTCTAAAGATTCTTAAATGTGCCTGAAGCATTTGCATCATACTATAAATGCTGATCACTGGATTTAAGTGAACATAGAATAGTAGCTAAGATTTCCGAATTTGGAAAGACTGTTCTCACAGTTACTTAACATAGATTTAGGTTTTTGAAAACACACATTAAGGTATAGTACCTTATGTTATATTAAAGCTATGCCAGAAGCAAGACAATATTTTAGTTGGAGAAAATTCTTAGCAAACAATGAAGAATCTGCTATCAGTGACTTTAAGAATACTTAAAAAATATACTGTCAAAGTAATTTTATCAACTATCATATGAATTATTTCATATATACTCTCCTTTAAATTGAAACTGCTATATTTCTGATTCATTTTTCAGGTATTGAGAGATAAATCCAAAAGAAAAAAAATGAGTGTTATATCTCTATCATCCCTGGCCTTTATAAGTCTTAACATTTACTACTACGAGGTGGAATACATGTTATAGGTAAAGGAATGTAATGATAATTTGTACATTTCTCTAAACAATGATAAAGACTTTAATATTATTTAACCTATATATTATCATTCAGAAGAGTGAAGCATTCGCCTAAGGTATTAGATTTCACTTACTTCTTCAAAGACCTGAGAAGTTAAGAGTCAGAATCTATTTTTTTCCACTATTTGTGTATTTATATGGTGCATACTCTTTAAAGTATTAGTATAAATTTCTTACTCACTTTTTATTTGCTTATTGTTTGTTCATTTTCTTGTTGCTGAGGATGCTGTAATTACTTTCTCTTTCACTATGTTAAGTGGTCCTAACTAGAATCAGATTACAGACAATCACAGGTAGAAATATTCAAAATCTACTTTAATCAATATTTCTATGCATTGCTTATTTTTTTGTCATGAGTTACTCATTGTTTCTAAATATTCTAGTTATATATTCATATCAAATAGTCCATTATAAATGTTAAACATAGTAGTCTGAATAAGAAATTTTACCAGTCTCTTTAAAATGTCATGTATTAAAATCATACTCCAAATATCGATTCCTTCTCAATTAAAGCCACTTTTCAATTTCCCAAAGCCAGTCTTAATTTATACATGATATTAATTGTATTTCTATTGTAGCGTATATTTTTATGTTCATCAACATTTAGCTGGTGTTACTATAACACAAACATTGATCATATATACTATGAAATAATCAAGTCTTTGTAATTATAACCCAGTAAACATCTTAAAACACTTAGTAGGACAGTGAAAGGTAACTTGGAAACTTGTTTTCAGATTCCTATTTTTTAATTCTTAAGATTTATGCAAGTTTTAAGAATCATAGTGATATTTAAATTAAAGAATTTAAAGATACTAGTTCTATAAATTCAAATGCTTCATTTGCAGTTAAGCACTATCTACCTGAAAATCTCATTTAGAATACTTATTAGTAAAGATCATTATGTAATTATCACTTTATAAATAAAATAATAGAAACATTAGAAGAACCAATAAGCTGTAAAAATAAAAAATAACTCTCCCTTTTTTGAAAGATTTAT